TAAAATTTTGGAAAATGGGCGTGGCACCGCCCACTTATGATCACATATATGTATCTCGGTAACCGTTCTACCAATTTGTACCAAACTCGGTATGGTTATTGTGCTTGCCATACGAAAGCAAAATGTTGAAATATTGAAATCGGACTTAAATTACGGCCGCTTTTCATATAACGGTAAACTTTAGAAATGCTTGAAACTTCAATATTTCGAAATTTAAGGACGCTAATTTACTCAAAATTGATACACCCCGGCTTACCATGTAGCGGTAGCTTTCAGAAAGGTGAAAAAGCATATGTAATACTTGCGCCGGGTATTTAATGTTCGGCTCCGCCCGAACTTAGACTTTCTTACTTGTTTTAAATTAACAAAAAAATACCATGAAAAATATTCGGAATATTGCAAAAAAAATCTATGCAAAATATTTCTGTGAGTGACCGTATATGCATTTGTACTTGTAGTACAAAAACTATGTTATAAATTAATGAGGATATGTACATACATACATACATATATGTTTGTCAAATTTTATGTTTGTTTTTTGTTGATTGAAAATACTGATTTATCGCCTTAATAAATATGTAAATGAATTACAATAAATTGTACTTTTTTTTGTTATATCAATCTGATTTAAAATACTATAATAGGATGATCACAGATGTGTTGCACTTTTGCCTGAATTTCGGGACGATCCCGGGATTGTATTTTCAGATCCCGAAAATCCCGGGATCGACAAAACCCCGAAAATCGACATCCCTAGTACGAATACATATCCATGGTAGGTGGTAAGGTGGAATTTGTGGAATTTTTAATCAGCCATAAATTGGGAACCATAATTCACATGAACTTGAAATTTGGTATGCAGACATACATATATATGGGAGTTGTTTAGAGTAAAATATGAGTTTGTAAAAGGGGGATACATATGTATTCATCAATTACGTATATCACTCGGATATTTAAAACTGTGTCTTACAGTCTTTAGACCATTTCGAAACGGAAAGATTAAGTTTTTTTTTTGATCCCGCGATGCTGTTAAATGAAAAATGTTCATTCGTAATGAATAAATCTCCTACCGAAATAACAATTTCTACCGGAAAAGCGCAGCTATACTAAAACAGCTTAGTGAATTAACGGAATGTACCGTAGTGGACTAATTTCAATTTAAAAATTCTATCTATTAATAATGAAACAAGATTTGTAGTACAGAAAATGATGACAAATATATAGTAGTTGAAGCACGATAAAGCTAAAAGTTTGGTTCATAAGGATGCCTTAATTTAAACAGAAAGAAAATAATTTGTCTCCTTTAATTTATGCTGAACTGAATATTGTACTACTGTTTTATATTTTGATTTATTTACCCCCAACGACGTCGGGTGCTCTGCTAGTATATAAATAAATATTAACTTTACTTTTATCATTGTACTATAAAAGATTGAATCATATTGTACTAATGCCTGAACCGAAATAAATGAAATGAAATGAAATGAAATCATAACATTTTTATATTCATAACATTATCATAACATTTTTATATTTAAACACTGGTTTACAACAAAAATGCCCAACGGATGCCACTATCAAATTCCTATGCAGAATCGCTTGCTGATTCCGAAATTTGGTGTTTTTTCGATATATAAGTTTTCGAGATGTTTGCAATTTGCCGTTATTCAGCTTAAAGAAAGTGGTTCCACTTATTCACGTATATCTTATACGAAATGTAGCAAATGAAACGTAGAAAAACTCCCCATAAACAGTACATATGTATGCACATCTATTTTCTATAAACTTAGTATTTTTTGAGAAATTTATTAATCATTCCAGATTTTTTATTTTTTTATGAAAAGATTAAAAAAAAAATTAATTTAACAGAGAAAAAATTTAAGAAATAACAGACTTTTTTTGATTTGTTCATTTCATTTCATTTGTTTGTTTCATTTAC